TAGTTTTTTAAAATTTTATTTGTATAAAGTATTAATAGATTTTAAAACACATATAATTTATTGGTAAGTTAAGGCTTTCGGCACCATATTTAAATCGAAAGTTTGAAATACTAAATTTAGACTAATATATAATCATAGTACCAGTTTCATAAGATTATACAAAGTTAATTTTTCGTTTTGTATAGTGTGAAATCTGAAAAATTCAAATTTTTTTTTTTTTGTTGCTGCTATCCATGTTGAATAATTCTGAAAAATTAAGATCTCCATCAGGTGAAACTGGTTAAAAATGATGAAAAAAAATAAATAGCAGAAATCACATGATTGGCACTTTAAAAAAAAAAAAATTGAAAAATTGAAAAAATGAGTGGTTAGATTATGCAAACTGAAAAAATCAACTTTGTATAGGCTAATATAATTGTGACTCCAAGAGAAAGCCTGCAAATCTCACTTTTATGCATTAAATGTATAAATGCATAGCTTGTTTGTTCTTGGCTAGAGTTAATACTTCAATTCAGATATAAATATATCCAGATTGATATTTTGCTAAAAATTTATAGTAAAACATAGTAATTTTATTCGAATATAATCCGGATATAAAAACATAGTAAAGTATTAACTCTACTCTTGGTATTACTATCTGCTAGTAATTAATTAATGTATATACAATTAACTAAATCTATTGTTTAACATTAGGTCAACAAAAAAATTTATAGTTGGCCTTTGTCATTTCTGGCTAAATTAAAAAATTTAATTTATTAGATGATATTTCAAGAATTTATATATTTTGTGAACATGCATGTCCGTGAAATCACATGATAGGATCAAATAATTTAAATAATACAGTCATAAATATTGAATAAGTTGAATTTTTTAATTTTACTGATCTTTTAAGCCATTGATAATTTTATTTAAAAATTATTTCACTTTCATCTAAAATTATTTTTATTCTATTAAACTTATATAACTTTATATTAATTAAATAGGGATGTTGATATTAGAAAATTTGTAATATCTCAAGGGTACAAAACTGAGAATCAACTTACTTATTTCAAGAAGTGTCACGATTATCATAAATCTTGGGATTCGACAATGTAATTTATACTGATTAACAGCCCACTTAGCAGCTACACCTTTTAGCCCTTTATTATATGCATCCATATATCTCCACGATTTACAGGAAAATTTGTGAATAGTGGTTACAGGAACACTCGTAAGAACTTCTGGAACAAGATTTACTAAATCCTTATAATTATAATTGCATAATCTTCTTGCTTCTTGTTTCATAAAACCCCAATATCATTTGATAAAGTTATACTCACAATAAAACTTTGGATAGCATTCAAAAATGTGCACTGTATTAATTACAGCTTTTTCTAACAGGGACTGTTGTTCAAGAAAATCAAGCTACAATGACATGATTCTTTGTGCACAACAATTCAATCTTTCTGGACTATTATCAGTACATTTTCCAGAACATTTTTCACATACTAGCAGAACCTTTCCTGTGGGCCAAAGTTTTTGCTCTTCAAGTACTTGCCTCAAACCTTTTTGCTTGCCTCTTAACTCCTTCTTATGATAATCATTTGGAAATACCATCAGTTGCACACATTTTTTTCCAGTTTCATCAATAAACCAACCATTTCGCATCACCGGTTGTTTTCTCCCAGAACTCAAGTTTATCTTTTTTGCGATTAGTGCGTTCTCTGCCATAGCGTTATAGTTAGTAGATTGATCGAAGCAAAACACACCAATACACCCGGAGTGCAATATTTCAAATGCCGGGATTACTTTATTCACAAGCTGGTCAAGCATATGCTCCACCTTCCAATATCCATCCATCTGAACAGAATGAATCACAAATGTTTCTTTATCTTTAATATATAGATTTTTATACAGCTGTTGGTCAGATAGGCATGGCAAGGACACAAAAAAGCAGAGACCATTATAGAACGTCCCAGATGTTTTGGGCACAAAATATTTTTGCCTTTCTGAATCCAAATTCGTCGCCGCCCATCGTTAGCATAGAAATAACACTCATCATGTATTATTTGAACATATTCTTTCTCCCCTAAATTGAGCTAAGGTTCTAATACAAATTCTAATGACTTACTAACAAAATCTTTCATGTTTTTTTTATACACGAACATTCTCTTTACTCATTCATTCCTATATGCCACCACATCTGGTCTCTCATGGCCATCAAAGTAAATACCCTTTCTTTTTTTCATTATATTTAAAACCCCACGAATACATATAATTTCTACACGTCCTCTCTGATATAGTGTCTTTTTTGATATGGCTAATTAATTTTGGAAATAGTGTATCCTCAATATATGCTTTCAAATTACTAGGTGTACATACTTCTGGTTTTTGTTGCCTTAACTACTCTTTACAATTTTCACTAAAATCCTCATCGTCAATCAAGCTTTCGAGTTTGGTATGTTTACCTTGGCGGTAAGGAAGAAGCTCCCCTGTTTTTATGTAATGATTTCCCCATATCCAAACACATTTAGCCATATAACTCCCTTTATTCCATATAAAACATGCAATTTGGTTAGCAGCATCCATTTTACCTTGTCCTTCTAACAATAATTGTATATATCGATGTATACTAAGAAAACGTAAATAATCATATGTAAAGATTTTACTATTCTTCTTCACAGATTTTTCTATCGAGCATCGTTGGTTAAGTTCTTCCAAACGGATACGTAAATTTTCAGTTGACCACAAAGATGAATCTGGTATAATAATTAGAGAGGGGCATAATGATAAGGATTCTGAAATGTAAGATTCTTAACAAATTAGTTAAGAAGTTGTTAATGAACTCAGTTGAAAAAATGTTTCAAGTTTTTTGATTCCTTTTGTGTTCTCTTCATCATTTTTTTTTTTTTTTTTTGCCTCCATATTGTCATTCTTGAGGTCCCAGTGTATACTATTCTAAGGTTTCTTGCAGCATCCTTATGCCATCTGAGAATTTCACTGAGAAGCCTTGTTCTTACTTCCTCAAATTCTACTAGTTCATCTTCTGTCCATTTCTCTTGTGATTCAACTGTGATTATATTTTGTGACTTCATAAAAATTTAGTTATTTTGGTTAAGATAGCGGCCTTTTTCTCTTGGCAAATTACTTATTTGTTTTTGCCTTTTTGTTCGGGGTGCCATGAAAACGGACAAAGAAGGACGTTCACCAATCAGTTATATTTTCTTATAAATGAACGGTGGCCCGAAGTGCTTCCAGTTCTTTGGCGTTATTTTATTTGCAATGTCAAAGACCCTTTTATCATTAGTCACTGATCACGCTTCGGTTCTGCAATGAACGCCTCAGCGTATATTTAACTATTCCATATAGTAATTACGCCAAGAAATTTTTTTTTTTTTTTAAATCATTGTGTTTTTTCATATAAATTAATAAAAAAAAAATTTGAACATGAACGATCACGAATGATCGATCATATAATAACTAAAAAAATTGTGAATTATATCGATAGAGCACTATTGACAAGACAAAATTAGCTCATGTACGATTTTTTTGCCTTTTATTAGTTTTTTGGTTTTGCAAAAGAAAAATCATTAATAATTTCTCCCCTCGTTGGTTCTGGGTAGTATGTGCGTACATGCGTACATATATAAGGTTGATGCGAGTACTACGCAGCTATGATCATTTTGCTGAATATTTATAGCGTCAAAAATGTAGGTATGTACTTACATACTTTATGTGCTGGTTTTACTAATTTTATCTCTGGTTTCTATTTGACCTACGTATTGATTAGATTTTAAAACTGATTGTATATAAAACTAGTACAAAGATCGAATAGAGCACTAAACTAATATTGTCAATTACTTACAATTGTATTTCTGTATTTATACAGTTTAGAATACTTGGAAAATGAAACCTCGCAAAAAAATATTTTTGGTTAGGTTGTAATTTTTGTATTACACATAAGTCTTGTACGTGTACATAATTTTAATAGCAAAAACTGTCCAATTAGAAGAAGTATAATGATGCAATATGAT